TTTCAATGATTCGTTTCGTCCTCAAAATTTTTGTACGGCTTGGCTCTCGAGAGGCACGTCGCTCGGCCAGTGGAAACGTGCATGCACAGCCGATATGTATGTTGGTATTTCACACCGTGAAAAGAAAACGCTGGCGCGGGACGGTGACGAGGGACGGCATAGTGGCAGCCAAGGGAGGAGCGGTGGACAAAGATGGGCGGGAATGGGGGATTTTTGTGTGTGTGTGGGGGGGGGGGGAGAGGCTCGCGGCGCAGAACTGTTGAATAATTATGGAAACCGAGGCGCCTTTTTTATACGCCGACTGGCAAGTTGCTGCAGCGCCTATATTCATTGAAACGAAATTGCAATTTTATATTCGTAACTTTATGGCTGTATAATTTCAACTAGATTGTGTCATTGGGACGCTTTGATTCATCGAGCGAATTACGCATTAGCTTTTATGCACGACAAACTAAGAGCTTAGTATGTATAATGTTAAGAGTAAATTGAGAAACGAAATACTAGATATCTTTCGACCTGTTTTTATTGTTTTATTACGTTATGTTTATGTGCTGCGCTAGAGGCTTATTATTTTGTATTTAATATCGTGAGTTGATGTTCGAGAAAATTTTACGATATCGGCGCAAAAATAACACTGTACCTTTTAATTCGGGGAATTCATTGTAAATAAAGAAAGGCAGCGGCTGTTTCACTGGTAAGCGAGCATGGAAAATATATTCGATCACTTAAGGCCGATTAATTTTATAAGCTATATTAAAATAGTTTCTCATTTGGATTATTTTACTGATTAACTCATTAAAAATTACTGTAAAAATAAAAATGTCGAGATTTCATGATTAAATCGCAGAAAATGAATTGCGGGCTTTGATCTTGTTTGTCGTAATTAAGTTTACTTTCGTATTTATAATAATAATAATAATAATAATAACAATAATAATAATAATAATAATAATAATAATAATAATAATAATAATAATAATAATAATAATAATAATAATAATAATAATAATAATAATAATAATAATAATAACAATAATAATAATAATAACAACAACAATAACAATAATAACAACAACAACAACAACAACAATAACAACAACAACAATAATAATAACAACAACATATAATAATACTAATAATATTAATAATGATAATAATGATAATAATGAGGATTATAACGATAATGATGATGATGATGATTATCGTGCTTTAAAAGGTAGCATACTCAACCCATTTCGTACTGTAAATTTGGCCGAAATGTTAGATCCTATAGATCTTACACTCGTAAAGATCCATCAAAGTTAAGCTTGTAAAATGACGAAACTTAGTATTTCAATCCGTTATATGAAACATTAGGTATCCATCTATTAAAAAACATTATGACGGCAGAGGAAAAAAGGAAGAAGAAAAAAGAAAGAAAAAGAGAAAAGAAAGTTTTAAGTGGTAGGAAGAAGTAGTTTTCTAAATGCAAATTTAATCTTTTATTTGTATTCTGCATTATTTACATATTTAATTATATCGGTCAAATGTTACAAACATTACAACATTTTTTTTGTTATTTCTTAATTATTTATTTATTTAATAATTTTTTTTTTAATACACAGATTGGACTTACTTCAATAACGTATTATTATTGTCTTTTTACAAAACAATTAGCGTTTAAAATTGTCTATGCTTTTGAGATTTTTATGCTCGGTGCAACACACGATTGTTCATAAATAATATAATATTTTTAGACAAAATCAACGCCAGGTTAATAAACTTTTTGCTACGTGCGTTTAATACGTGCGTTGATGAATTTGGAATGGTTGTGCTGACGAAACGAAAAAAACGTCCTTAAATATTTTGAAATTTCTCGTCGTTTATTTATCAAAGCTCAATTACGAAATGTGTCAGACCAAGGACGTATTATTGTGATTTTCGATACGATGTCCCTCTGGCATCCCAATCGACGTAAATTCAATAAATCCAACTTAATCGTTCGGTGAACATTTAACAACCAACCAGTCCCGCACGCCTGGCCACGTTTCTTCTAACAACCGCAGTCCGTTTTTCCTCTCCCCACATTATTGCGAAGTTTTTCAATTCTATATTTAGGGGCTGCCATTTCGAGACTTTACGGAACGGGAGGACCGAGGCGCTTCTTTCTATTTCCCTTGAGAGCTATTTTTCCGCGGTAGTCGCTCGTGCTCATTAGACACGCTCGTGCGCTTTACGCAAGCCCAAGAGTGAAAACGCGATGATCACTCCAGGCCTTTCCTTCATTTCCTTTCCATCGATCCACGAGCTCTTGCGCAAGGAATATCGGCGCGTTTTGCGCCCGGAATCCCACGAGGGCTACGTGTTTGGCCGCCTCGCCTCCCTCACCCGCGGATGAAAATAATTTTAACGGGAAAAGTGTGTAGGCCGTCATGCCGGCCTTACAACACGGATCCCATCTCCGGGAAACGCAGGATGCTACCGCGACTGTGCAACACAATTTTTATAGCAAACAATTATAAATGTCAGTATTCGAGGCTATGAATCGCAATTTCTATCCTTCTTCATGATTTTTCAGATGGAGAATTATTAATTAATTATCTTTCGTTAATTCAGAGAGGTCGCTTTGGCTTGTAAAATCCACGATTTCCATGCCAATTTATTGGATGTTCGAGGATTATTTTAAATGGACAGGTCGCTCCATGCCCCACTCCCACCCCCACCACCGATTAGAAAATATTTTAAATTCCGATTGCGACTGCTAAATGCTCCTCTCGTAGCTTCAACGATCATCTCCCCGTGCTCGCCACAATCACCGCTATCGCATTACAATTTCCTAGTCCTAATTTCGTTTTTGCTTCGTTTTTCCGTCATTGTCGCACGCACACAGGCCTCCCTACCGAACAATTTGAAAGAATGCCAAAGCTGTCTAAATTATCGTAAGTATTGATAATGCGAGCGAGACACGAGAGCAGCCAGCCTTATAATCCAGTGTTGTCGGTAAAAAAAAGCCCTCGAAATTCAAAACATCGTCGAGCGCGATGGATGGGGATAATCGTTTGCCAACGATTAACCTCGCTTCTTCTATTAAGGAGACGGAGCCCATCCTTACAAAAGATAGATGAGCGACAAGTCACTGGAATATCTCATAACGCTTATCAATTCCAAAAACGTCAAGCTCGCGCCCGTGGCCGCCGATTCAGCGAGTTCATATTTCACGGGCCTCTGCCTGATTCATAAACGCCGCTGGAAACATTTCAAAGTCGTTAAGTCTATCGGGCGCTCGCATAATAAATTTCAAATGCCGTTCATCCGCGCCTCGATCAGGGACTGGATCAGGCACCGTATAACGGTCGCCGCTGAAATTTCGAATCAATCACCGTCGCGTCCACCTCCGTTGACTCGACGGACTCATACTCGACGTCGACGACCGGGCGACCGACGGATTTTACCCGTGTACCTCGGACTCACTCGTTCGCGCCTACGAAATCGCCCTGCAAATTCAAGCCGACGAGGTCGGGAGTCCGGGCGGTTATCGCGAGGAGCTCCCGAGGTGTTCCCGAGGTGGGCGCACTACCGTCCTCCGGTAGCGTAGGATCGCGTCGATCGAAATGATTAATCACGGCTCGCGGCCGAGACGATCGAAGGAGTGCGCGTTCATAAATTGTTGGGGACTTTTTCCCCCTCCGCTTATTCCTGGTCGGGCATAAATTTACCTAGAGCGCTTGTTTTATCGAAAGGCGCGATAAAGTAATTAATTGAGAATGGCAAGTGTAGAAAATAGAAAGTGAATCAGCGTGGCAATACGCGCTTCGAAAATACTGGCTTTTTCACCTGCGATTTATCTCATCTCCCCCCTCTCGGCGACACCGCTAACTCGGCTGTAACTCGCTACTTCGTGATGGTGGTGGCTGGCTGGCTGGCATCCGAACTTTTATAATAATGCGCTTAAAATGATAAATTTAGTCCCAAATTAACGCGGTCCCTCGTAGCAATATCGAGGTAACGCGTTGCTGAAAAAAGGAGAAAAATACCGGCGCATACGTTTTACCGGTATTCTGGCAACGAGAAGAGTCATCTTTGAATTAAAATACACGTCGCGGGAACGTTGCCAAAGCCCTTAAAAACTCACGCTTACTCGGGCTCTGGTGTCGTTCGTCGCTTATTTATTGTCAATCGCATTAATCGCGAGAAGTGCGGGTGGGGCTTGGACGACGAGTGGTAGTGGCGGCGGTGGGACGGGGGTTACATCATCGATTTTCCATTGGTAGTTAAAGAGCGGCTTGTTGTCGTTATCGTTAACGTTCGTTGGCTCGGTTCTTGTGGCCGAAAAAGCATTTGGCAAAATGATGTCTTTCGCATAAATTTTGCGAGTCAATGCGCCGACACGTCGCTTTTCCATTCAATCGTTCGCGTTAATATTGCACTATTGTCCGGTTAAAGCTCGTCCCCGGCTCGGCGACAATCGTAGGTAGAGCAGCGGTGCAGAGGCTCCCGAGACGCTCTGTCCTCCTGCACGTCGCGATCGACACGCGAGAGCCTCCCTCCTCGGCTCGCCAAGCACCAAAGCCCAGCGCCACCCTCGCAGCAAAGGCCCGGGTGCGACCAGACTACTTGGCCAGTCGCCGAGTAAAGAGCAGCCCCTTGCCCCCACTGGGCGCGAAAAAGTCACGGCCAGCGCCTGGCTTGCGCCTAAACGACCGGCGACAATGGGTCGGTAGAGACTGATTCCCCCTCCGCCTCTCAGCCCCCACCCCCGCCGCGCCACAAACGTTCCGTTGCCGTCCCTTCCCCTCCCGCACGGTCGTAGCCACAGCCCGTAGCCGTAGCCGTAGCCGTAGCCGTAGCCGTAGCCGTAGCCGTAGCCACAGCCGCAGCCGCAGCCGCAGCCGCCCCGACCCCGGAGGGCCGTGACTCTCTCGGCTCGCGCAGTCGGTACACATATAGGACGTCTCGAGGCTCGTGGGCTCGTCGTTGGCATCGGTGGAGGGGCGCTGGAGGCGAGCGCCGCCGCTACTCCGGGAGGTAGGGTACGACAGTCTGCGCACGGCCATTGATCGGAACGGAAGGCCTGCGTACCTCTTCGCGCTCCTCGTGCTCCTCGTGCTCCTCGTGCTCCTCTCGCCATCCAGTCGCGGCCGATATCGCGCACGCAGACGGCCGCCGCGCCGACATGAAACCCGTCGACGGATAAGTCTAGGTGAGTTACAATATACAGCTGCCACTCCCGCACACCCTCCTCCCGCCCCGCCTTTGTTAACGGCATTTATCGATTGGCGAGAGCGAGGGGAAGGTGCGCGCGCCCTATGACCCTCGAGGTGGCTAGGTCGCTTTACTCTATTTCTTACCCATTCCCGGCTAAATTTACACTTTTAAAGCTCGAGCCACCGTCGTGCCGCTCGCTCCCGAGTCTTATTCATGCCGAGGAGCCGTTCCCCGGCCCATTGTGGATTTAGTGACTCTTGTTCGCTCTCGCTCTCTCTCTCTCTCTCTCTCTCTCTCTCTCTCTCTCACACTCTCTCACTCTCCGAGTCCACGGCGCGAGATTCTTTAATAGCGCGGGTACAAAAGTCGTCAATGCATGGCCGACGGAACTTTTTCCCGGCGCTGCGCATTTTTAACGGCCCAGTCAGTCGTATGTTTCACCGGGTCTTTCACGCTTTTCACGCTTTTCACGCGCCGTAAATGGCGCATAATCGTTTTGCTTAATTGTACCGTGGCCTCGGGGCCTTCTTGCCGTTAACGAACCTCTCGGCTTTCGCCTTCTAGTCCCTTGTGTACAAGTAACCGGGGGCCTGACAGTACCGGGCCCCACGTGCATAATGAGTCGGCCACGGCCGGCCTCTCTCGCGCAAGCGAAAAGTCCAAGGTGAAAAAAAAGTTCGAGGCACTCGTCCACTCTTCGATTCACTCCCGGCACTTCCACTTTGTAATCCTCTCCGTTTTCAACCGAACTCATTCACGTTCATTCTGATTAGCTAGCCAGCCGCCGCGATCGTCGAGGGTTAATGCATTATGTCGGCACGGTTTTTCTTGCGGTTTCGCGATCGTCGGCTCGGCCCATTTCTCCGAAGTCCCGTGGCCTCGCCTCGGCCCTCGCCAACCCTCGTACCTCTAGTCATTGCCGCCCCACTCCCGCCTGCCCCACGACGACTGTAAGATTCGGCTGAGAAGGTGTGCGCCGTGGAGGAAAAGCGTCGGAAGCTCTCTGTGCAACTTACATCTCTCAAAGACTGGCGAGGGCGACGAGCCGAAAATAGTTATTGTTCCGTTCCCGGAACCCGAACGCGTACGCTAATGAATAAAAAGGCGCGCGAACTTGAAAGTGGAAGCGTAAGGTGCGAATAAGCTCGTCAGTTATAAATACGTGATTAAGAACATGTGCTGCTTTACAAAATGTTAAACTCTGAATAATTAGAATGACTAAAGCTCAACGCTCATATTATCATTCTCG